AGAAAATGAAGGCTAATCATGTTTTGGGTGTACTATTCCTTTAAGGGACAATGAGTTTAGACATCATTTAAACATCTGGTTTCATCATTTCTTAATAAAGATCATAACATAAAATGAGGTGTCCTTTGCAAGGGCAGAGCTAGATGGGGGGCCAGGGTTGGCCATGGCCACCCTTAGCCAATCATTGGCCACCCCTGTGGCCACCCCTACCACTTTTCCCCTCTCATACAGATGGTGGCAGCAGTAATACTCTCAAGTGGAATATTCAAAACATTTATATTTTTTGGGGTGAATTATGCACATCAATATACTAACATCAAACATGATAAATACAGAATTCATGCTCTTTTCAGAACTAGATTTTGTGTTATATGGGGTAAAGAGAAAATGTGTCTCTGCAAGTCATCTCTTCAGTGAAATCATAGATAAATACAAATTTTAATAAGAACTTATCAAATAATCAAATTATTTATTAGTGCTTGTAAATATCAGTTTTATGCAGAATGTTTATTGATACAAGAAGGTAAGTAATGACGATGGAAAAGATTTACGCCCCAGATCTCAAAACTGAAAATTGTATCCACTATACCTTTTATTTAGAAAGCACGGATGTTTAAATATATGCATCTATTTGTTAGCAAAGGCTGTAAGAAAGTAAAGTTTGTCTTTATTTAGAAAATATGGATGTTTTGCACGTTAATTTTGGCTGAAAGTAGATAGGCACCAAAACCTCACGGTTAATCTACAATGTTCCAACAGGAAAATTAACGAGCAAAACATCCATATCTTCTTAATAAAGACAAATTATACTTTCCTACAGCCTTTGCTAACAAATAGACAAATATACTAAAACATCCGTGCTTTCTAAATAAAAGGTATAGTGGATAAAATTCTTTCAGGTTTGAGTTTTGGGTGAACATCTGTTCAATTGTCATCAATTACCTACTTTTATCAGTAATCATTCTGCATAAAATTGATATTTAGAAGTACCTATATCTACATAAACAAATTATTTAATACATTTTTATTAAAATAGTTATTTATCAATGATTTCAGTGAAGACTCCTAGATGACTCCTAGAGACACATTTTCTCTTTACCCCATTTAACACAAACTCTATTTCTGCTTGAATTCTGTACTCATCAACTTTAATGTTAGTATATTGATGTGCATAATTAACCACGGTGGGGTTTTTTTTTTTGTCAAGTAGTTGTTAATATATGAAGAATTAAAATGTTTTGAATATTCCATTTGAGAGTATTACTGCTGCCACCATCTGTATTAGAAGGTAATAAATGTTAGGGTGGCCAATGATTGGCTAAGGGTGGCCATGGCCAACACTGGCCCCCCATCTAGCTCCACCCCTGCAAAGCACACCTCTTTTTATGTTATAATCTTTATTAAGAAATGATCAAACCAGATGTTTAAATGATGTTTAAACTCATTGTCCCTTAATTTTAGGGAAAAAAAATTAATGGTTGCCAAACAACAAATATGAAAAGTTTTCCCCAAAAAACAAAGTTAGATGTAGAGAAATTATGACATTAGTGTCACTTGAAAGCAGCATTTTTTATTTTATTTTTTTAGAATATGAACCCTTTGTTTTGCTAGTATTAGCTTTAAAAACAAACAAAAAACTTTTAGCTATTTTCTTGTCACAATTTGTCAAAATATTTCTAAAGTTAAAGAAGGTAATATGCAAAATTGTGTTGGTTCTCTGTAGACCCAGTAGAGGTGGAAAGCAAGAACCAGGATTGATTTTGTTGCAAAGTCCAACAGTATTTCTCCTTTTTTCCCCCCTCTATGTTTGAATAACCTTTATTTGCAGTTGGTTGTGAAATTCAACAGGCCTGTGGTACAAACTTCACATAAACATGCATTCACACCACAAGACGTTCAGTATTCCTTGACTATTGTACAAAACAATTATTTCCCCTAATCACTTTGATGTTTCCACTCTTTTGTAAAAGCTTAAAGTACATTTATTGTATTTCTAATGTCCTCTAACATATGGATGAATTAAAAAAAAATCACAAAATTTGGTGTTACAGTACATAAAACAGGAAACTCCCCTCTGAATGAGAATCAGCCTGTTGGATAGAAATAGAAATCTGTGTCATAATGTAAAAAATGCAAGGTGTGTGCTTAAATAGAGGTCACAAAAAAACAACAGATTTTGAGAATGTTTGTGTTCATAGGTTAGCATTACGGAGCCCAGCAAATAAAAACATGAATGGACATCCAGAAAACAAGAACAACTTGTTATAATGACTATTTTAAGATTCAAATCATGTGGGTTTCTTTAGTAAAAAAAAAAAAGAAAAAGAAAAGAGATGACTGAAGATATCTGAACAGCATTTCATGTCCAAACATATCCAGTATATTTCCAGATTCCCACTGGGAATCTGTTAAGAAAAATAGACATCTGATAGAGCTTCTATACAGTTATTATTCAAATGTTTTAGATTGTTGCATAGAGCTACAAAATATAGAAAGTTAGTATTTCATCAAGGAACACATTTAAGTTCCCCCTTGGGTCAAATACAGACATTTTTTTTTTTATCATCAAAATGTTTTCCGTTGAATTTCCCCATGATTTAGCAAGCCGAAAACTTTTTTTAAGCCAGTTGTGCAATGCAGCATGTTGCCCTAACGCTTACAGTGCAAACTATCATCAGAGGGCTGTAAACACGCAGATGTACTTCCCTGCCTCTTGTAAACCTGGAAAACAGGGGAAATACTGCATAACAGGAACAATGGCACGAAACAACCACAAATAAAAAGCTTGAAACCATGACCCTCTGCAGCAGATAGAGGATTGCCTGGTTGAAGATAGGATGGTTGTTCAATTTAGAAGAAGCAGCAGAAAGATGTGGACCTTTGGCCTTCAGATGGTTGTGCTTGGTGTTTTCATACAGGTATGGAGAGTTATGTTGAATAATTTGAGTTTTTTTAGAACACGCTTACTGTTTGGTCTATCTAAAATATTGGGATCAACTGTATATCTTTTTTTAACATTTTTTTATTTATTTTTATGATTACCGTACGTATATCAACCTATGTTATGTCTTTTGTTCATATATATATTTTTTTTTTACACTGAATTGAGAAAAACTATATACAACAAAATATATTACAAAGATAACTAATCAGTTTAAATATTTGCTAAACGAAGCAAAGTTAGAGCAGAATTACGGTATGTACCATGCATACTCATCACAAAAGACCAAATAGCAACCCAATATTCTGCTGAATTGTATATTCTCTCACCTTTCCCATTTTGTGGGGCAGTAAAAAAAATACTTCTATTATTGCATCAAGGAGAAAGGAAGTGGTGGAGTCTAAAAGACTAATAAAAAAAAAAAAACCCAGTAAGATTTATTTACCAAAATAGAATTATGTAAAAATTGATGAAGGTGCCAAAAATGTGTTACAGTTGATTTGTTTTTAAGATGGACTGTTCTTTTTTTTTTTTCACAATGGATTAACCTTCTAGAAGTAAAGTTGTTCCGCCTCTTATTAAGCTTTAATAGAAAAATTTGTTTATTTTCAGGCTTTTTTTTTTTTTTTTTTTTTTTTTTTTTTTGTACATCAGAGTCAGTTTTAGCAGTAAAGATTGGAGGCTTTTTAAAGCAAAGGAACTCTTTAATTAAGCACAAAAAAATTTCAAAATAGTGTATCTACTTTACAATTTTCTTTACCAAAAGGAAAAGGTATACGGTACATATTATGCATTCCTGGAACCTTATTGCGTTGCTTTTAACCTTTTCCTGTCTAATAAATAAAATGAATTAATGAGTTATGACTGCTGTACAAGACAGAGTTGTCATCAGGTTACATCATGTCAAGCCACATTCAATTGTTTTAGAAGCAGTTTTAATTTCCGACAACATAAACCACAAACTAGGACTGATTTTTTTACCTTATGACTTACAAGAGTTAAGATGTATGATTGGAAAATTAGGTGGTGTCATGATTTAATTAAAGATCTGACACAAATTCAGAAGACCAAACAGAGAGACCAGGGAAAAGTTTAACAGGTTTATTTAGTATAATGAGATGAGTCTAGTGCTGCTCTGAACACTGTTAAAACGGAACTGGAAAGTGAGGGGAAGACACTGCGGTTAGTTCAGGCTCAGTGGGAAATTAGATTCTTTGACTTGAAGAGCAGGAATACAGTAGGTTGCAGACTCGCGTTTCCAGAAAAAGGTGTCTTTAATTGAATCCAGTCTGTGTTGGATGTTCCAGTGATTGTCTTGTTTGATGGAGGGCGGACAGGGTTTTTCTAGACTGTGGTTGTTCCTTGGTGAACGGAGAAGCTGACTGCCACTTAGATTTCCTGCGGTACTTTAACGGGTTATTGTGGAGATGAACCCGCTGCTCAGAGAGAAGCCCCAGACAATCCTTAGGGTAGGGTGACCAAACGTCCGTATTCTTAATCGGAATATAGATAGCGTGGCTGTCAGTACGCCAACAACATGCAAAGGCACAAATGTATGTTTACCAACGATTTACAAAAGAGTTTCCCCGCTTTCAGACTGGATCGAGACAAATGGGAGGCCTTGTGCACAGTGTGCAAAGCAGGCACATATGTCTCGGTGTCCAATGGAGGTGCAAGGGATCTGAAAAGCCACCTGGACCCGGAAGTCAAGATATTCTATTGATATGTTTGTTCGTTTTTGGTACATTTTGAGTTATTTTTGCTACAAAAGAGGTATTTTTTGTTAATTAGCTCATTTGTTTATTTTTTCCAATAACCTACAGAACAGACATTATTTCGTTCATTGCTGAGGCTGAGTATCATCATATTGGGAGTTGAGAGTTATTGTTAACTTTTATTGTTAAGTGAGGGATGTTTAGATGAGACATTATTTCTTTCATTGTTTCTCGTCATTACAGGAATTGTTAAGCATTTTTAAAAAATACATTTTGAATAAAATTATCACCGCTCCAAGGTGTCCTGGTTTTTCAAAATGAAAATATGGTCACCCTACCTTAGGGGGAAAGGTTGATCCAAACCACAAACTTGAATCCTCAGCTCAGTTTGGTTCTCAGAAGATCCTTCCAGGGGAGAGAAGGTCCGAAAAATCCAGTTTGAAGGATGACTTCCTGCCAAGAGGCAAAGACAAAAACAGCGAGGTTAAAACTCAGGTAGACAGTTTACCTCAGCAAAACTCAGCTTGGCTAGAGTACCCAAAACTGGCTAAACAAAAACTCAGGTTAGACTCTGATAAACTAAGCATGGCTAGAGTACCCCAAACTGGAAAACACTCTGGCGTCGAGGTAGTGGCAGTCAGCAGCTTAAGAGCACTCAACAGGTAATGAGGCAAGGAGCTGCAGGTGTGCATGGAGGCCCAATGAGGACAGGGCTCCACCTGGTGGAGGAGGAAAGGAAACACAAAAACAGACCACACAAACTGGATTCCTGACAGGTGGATGGAAAAACCGTGGTTAAAAAAACCTATTGGCCGCTTTTTAAAGTTAAAACACAGAAAACATCCCTGAGCTAAATTACTTAGATAATCAATAATTATTATTATTGGTTTTTATTATTAATAAAAACTTGCTTTTAAAGATTTTATGTAATTTTCACATTTTCTAGAACAACTGAATCATTTTTTTTCCACTGAGAGTGATGAACCTATATGAGTTTTACTGAAATCTTTTCAATGACACTCTAATTAATTAAGATGCACATGTCTGAATGATACCAGAAAATGTCAATAAAATCATCATTTCATATTTTTTCTGAACCTTTCCTTGCAGATGGAAGGTTGCTTCCCATCATGCCTCATTGCAGGCTCCATCGCCCTGTGTGCGTTTAAAAATCTCCACTCGGTTCCTCCTCTCCCCCCCCACATCACCCATTTGTTCCTGGGGAACAATAAGATCAGTGAGATCAACACCACCTCGCTGTCTGGTCTGGAGGAGCTGCAGGAGCTGGACCTCGGGCAGCAGACAGTGCAGCTCGTGATCCGGAATAATGCCTTCAGCAGACAGAGACGCCTCCGGAGGCTGGTCCTCGACTCCAACCCTGGTCTTCAGCTGGAACCGCTTGCCTTCGCCGGATTGTCCAGCATCCAGAGTCTACACTTGAATTACTGTTCACTTAATGAGTCCATCCTGTCAGGAAAATATCTGGAACCGCTTTCATCTTTGCAGACTTTGGACCTAAACTGGAACCAAATAAAGAGACTCCAACCGTCTCGGTTCTTTGTAAACATGACCGATTTGGCTAACTTGAATCTGGAGCTTAACCAAATTAATGAAATCTGTGAGTCGGACCTTGTTTGTTTCAAAGGAAAACACTTCACACGTTTGAGCCTTAAGGGTATCTACCTGAGGAACATCTCAAAGGAGAGCTTTGATTGGATGAAATGTGGGAATCCTTTCAGAGGAATGTCTTTCCAGACTCTTGACTTGTCCAACAGTGGACTTGGTGTGGATCAATTAAGAATGTTTTTCAGAGCCATTAGTGGCACGAACATATCTCACCTTAAAATCTCTGGACACATAGGGAAAGGATTCTCATTCAGTAATCTCCCAGATCCAGACCTCCACACTTTTGAAGGCTTGAAAAACAGTTCAGTTCTCTCTCTGGATCTGTCCAAAAGCAGAATATTTGCATTACGTCAGAGAGTTTTCAGTCCCCTGAAAGAAATCACTCAAATTAATCTTTCTCAAAACAAAGTTAATCAGATACACAGAAAAGCATTTGAAGGACTTCAGAACAATTTGAAAATACTCAACCTGTCACACAATCTGCTCGGAGAAATCTATGCTTACACCTTTTCCTCTCTCACAAACCTGGAAATTTTAGATTTATCTCACAATCATGTGGGTGTTTTGGGTTATGGCTCATTTACTGGACATCCGAACCTTAAATTCCTGGATCTTTCTGATAACTCTTTGAGGGAATTAGGTTTTCCTGCATCTTTACCAAATTTAGACATCCTTAATCTGAAAAACAATAGGCTCATATCCTCATCAGTGAATACTATCACTCAGTTTGCCCGTAACATCTCCTATCTGAATGTTCAGAACAACAGATTAACTGACCTGGGGGGTGTTTACATATTCTTGAATCAGATGAAACGCCTGAAGCAGCTCTTTTACGGAGGTAACACTATCAAGTGGTGCACACTCAGTAGGCCCATTGCTCCATCTAATGTTGAAGTTCTGGATCTTCATGACAGCTCTTTGCAGACCATCTGGGCTCAGGGTAAATGCCTGGAGCTGTTCCAGAACTTGGGAAATGTGACCAGTCTTAACTTAAGCTCTAACGGTCTGCAAGATCTTCCTCAAGGCATCTTTAAGGGTCTCACCTCAGTGCTAAAGATGGACCTCTCTTCCAATGCCCTGGTATATCTCCAGCCTGGTGTGTTACCAAAAAGTCTGGAAACCCTCTACCTCTCTGATAACTTCATAGCTTCCCCAAACCCAGCTGCTTTCCACGCTCTAAGCTTCCTAGATCTGTCCAGGAACAGATTTTATTGTAATGCTGGTCTGAAGAGCTTCCTGACGTGGATGAAACAGACCAAGGTGAAGTTCCTGACTCCTATAGAGGAGTTCAGGTGTGAATTCCCTGCTGGTTTCTATAAGATGCCGCTGTTAGACTATTCTGCTCGGCTAAAAGCAGATAGAAGCAATACCTGAGTGAAATGTAATGTAAATGTTGACTTTATCTAAAGATCACAATGCTGATGGTGTGAATTTAATTGTTATTTTCATAAGTTTCTCAAGGTTTGCATCTAAACTCTTTTGTTATTTTTATTTTTCTTGAAACAAATCATATAAACCAGATATATAAAATGCTTCATAATCAGAACTTTTAGTAGTTCTGAAACTCCTCCACCATTTCATATTTATCTCCGCTGGCTGAATAAGTCTCTCACCTGCTTTTACATTTTGTGAGATCTGAGCATGAATTTACATTTTTTTCTGAAATGTTTAACCCTATTTTGTGTTGTCATGTAAATCCCATAATTTCATTATCCTTCCACTAATAAATAATATCTCTTTGAGAAATGTGTTTGTTGTAATATAAGTGTAATTTTTAGACAAGCTTTACTCTGTTTATCCCTTTAGATCCTATTCTTCTTTCACTCTTTGTATGGTTTTCAAGGTCCACCGGGTACAAACCAGTATACACTTTGGAATCTCTACACTGCTCTGAATGCTTCTGAAAATAAGCATTTGGAGCAACAAAGGTGTATTTAATTAAACGCCTGCTGCAATAGTTGCCATCATGCATGAAATCTATTAGCGTCACAATAAGGAACAACAGACTGAAAAACAACTTTGTTCCTGTAGCTGCCTGTGTCATAAATGCCAGCCTATTAAACACATTTTTTTCACACTTTTAAGACCTTTTTATTCTTGTAAATTTTCACTGCACCTTTTTGGTTATATTCTAAATTATTTAAACATGAAAAAGAAAATTATTAACACAAACAAATGTTTTAGGAGGTGAATATTTGTCCAGCTTGAAAGGGTCTGTTTTACTTATGTGTGGATTCCCTCTGCATGATAGCCCCTTTAGGAGCATAGTGTTTACTGTAGTTAAATAGAAATTTAAAAAATATTAAAGCAAAAAAATACTGTGTTAAAAGGGTTAATAATGATTTTATAAATGTATGCACGTTTTTGCCTCAAAAATATACACTCAAAGAAATAATACTGCACAGTACTTAATTAAATCAGTGCAGCATTTTTACACTTAAAAACATTGAGTAAATTTAAAAGCTGTAAAATTAAGTAAATATAACTTATGAATTTAGTAAATGCAAGTTTAAAAAATTAAGTACAATAACTAAATGTAGTATCCTGACAGGTAAAATTGAGTAGATCTAATTCAAATCTTAAGTCAATATAATAGTAACCCTTGGTGAAAACCAATAATAAAATTGTGTCGATATGACAAAAAATGTTAACTAGATATAACTGGAAGAAAAAGTATAATTTAACAAAAGAAAGGTGTTACATTTACTTAATGTTTTACCTGAATTTAATTTATATTTAACTATCAATTAGCAAAATTAATTGAGCAAAATGTTTAACATGCATGCACAATTTAATATTATTTAATTAAATCTGCCCGGGTCTTTAGCAATACCAGTCCAGTACAGATAATTATAAATCTAAAGGTAAATAAAGTTTTAGTTTTCAGTTTTAGAATTGATTGACATTTGAAGTATGAGTAAATGTTGCATCTAGAGCAGAAACAGTAAAATGTATAAGAGGAAAATTACTATACACTTAACAATATCCCACTTTAAACAAATAAAATATCAATCAAATAAATAATATTCAAGGAATCAAAATACTAAGTGAAGTTTAGAAATTATGCTACTTAGTTAGTTGAAAGTGTTAGTATATAGAAATTGTTATTATGCAAGTACACCTTACCAAGACAGATAGCTTTTCACAGGGAACCAGCCTTTACAGCTCGTCTAATTTCAGGGAGCTTCCTGATTGAATCCCAAAATGCTCTTCAGAATTAGTTTTGACTGATTTATGGGTATTTTCATTTTAATCATTAAAAGCTATTTATTTGAAAGTTTAAGAACCCAGTTGACTGGGATTCTTGATCTGTGATATTTGACATATCAACCACTCAGAAGAGAACAACTTACTAGGGATGCACGATATTGGGATTTTGGCCGATATCCGATATGCCGATATTTTAAAACTCATGTAGCCGATAACCGATATCGATACCGATGTTAAAGCTGGACAAAAATAAGTAGTCATTGAAAATAGCAGTTTTGTTATCCATTTCTGACACTTTGAAAAATAATATACTCTTATATATTTTCATATGCTGATATCAAATAGATTTTTAAAAATGCGGTACTTTCAAAATCTTGTGAAATTTCATCGTTCTGTTACAAACTCTCTTAATATTTTGCTAATTCTTGTGAGATTTTGTTAGTAAAACAGATCGATACATCAACATATAAAAATATGGCAAAATTTCGGGAATTTTGGGGGGATTTCGTAGCATAACGATGACATATAGCAATGTTTCATTAGTAAAAGAGATTGATATGGTGTTTTTAAATGGCAATATATCAGCATATGAAGATAGAAGTTTTTAAGTCTGTAAAAAAGAAGTTTTTGAGGAAGAAGAAGAAGTAGTATTTTATTTTTTTTTTTTAGACTTTAGAAACTCAGAAGCTGATCAAATATCGGGTTAAATATCAGTGGGGCGGCCGATGTCCGATATTCAGTTTTAAGGCCGATACAGGCCGAAACCGATAGGGGGCCGATTATATCGTGCATACCTACAACTTACCCCCACCAAATCAGCAAAATACACAGAACCATTGCAAAGATGCAACAACAGCATTACTCACGGTGTTGTCTGGCAACCTGGAGAGATCAAGTTGATCTACAAAAGTCCCAAGTACTTTAAACTACTTAATCTACTGTATTTGAGTTCTATTTAAAATATTTTAACAGCATTCTTTTATTCGACAGTTCACAGCACTATTTTAGGGTGAACATAACCGAGTTAGTGAGAACTGAGTTCTGATTACTTAACATATTTTAGTAAAACTGGGTGTTTTATTTTACAGTGTACAGGATCATTTGTATATTTCTAAGATTTCCGCTGTAGCTATTCTCTCTAGATTCTCTCTTTGGTTTGGTCTGTAGATGTTAGATATATTAGGTCTATGAATGTTATTTTCCTAAAGTGTGTCTAAGGAGAAACCTAGGTATAATAAAATGAAATAGAGCTAATGTTTGAATGAACTTTAATACCATTTTTAGATCAGCAGAGGGAGCTCCAGGGACAGTTATTTATTGAGCATGGCTTGAATTAGTGAACCTTACTAAGATGCAGACAATTATGAGGTTTAAAAGGATTCTTCACAAAGGTTTAATAAGTCTTTATAGAACAAAATGTCACAATAGAAGAAAAAATACAAGGGAAAACTATTTAGAAAAGAAGGTGTGAAGTCATCAGACCCTCAAGATGACAAATTGTTTGCAGTTTTTTATTTTTATTTATGTATTTATTTTATTTTTTTTACTTAATCAGTAGTCTATAAATAAACAAAGTCTAGGACACCTTATATTTTAGTTTCAGGTCTTGAATACATTTGAGCTTATGAAGCCATTTTAAAATATAATTTATGTAATATTGGTCTTTGCCTTTTTTTGATTATAAAGAGCAAAATGAAAAAAGACACCTAAAAAACAGGCAAATTGTTTGTTTGTTTTTTAACAGAAAACGGTTTTACACTAATAACATGAAATAATCGACTCTCAGCTTTCCACAACTCTTCCACAGTTTCATACAGAGTCATGCACCATCTTTCTCACCTATTTTTGTCACAAGTGGAGATGTTTTAGCATAGACATTATTATGTTTACACAAGCTTGTTGGATGCTGCTTTTGGCTGTGTTCATGACACAGTCGGACCTGAATTAATACATTTTGCATCAGTATTGGGGATATTTTTAACTTGTGCCATTACAGGTTGCCTCATCTTACATAAAGCAAACAAACAAACAAAAAACAGTAATCTTCTTTACTGTGTATGTTACACCTCAGCCTTTTGGTTATTTAGAAAATATGCTTTAGGCCACAATATTAGTACATCTTGCAATATCACATTCATAGAAAAGTATTTCACTCTTCCTGATTTGGTTTTATAGCAAAAAGTGACCTTTTGAAGATGAGTGGACCATTCAGTTTGTGGAAAACAAAAAAAGGCATTTGTTCCCTCCAGCAACAAGATCTTATTTAAAAAAAAAAGAGTTTCTTCTGGCCAACATTTGCTGTTTTGAAGTTTCTTTTAACGGCTTGACAGACTCAGCATTTTGATTTATGCATGATACTGTACCTAACTAATTGTCCAACTTTGTTTACAATGCAGGCAGTTGTTTGTTATATGCTTTTTGTGTGCTGTGATGAAGATCAATTTGTATTATCCTGATTAACATATATTAAAATCATTCAAATGTTTATACCCTGAGTGATGAAAGTGATTAAATATGTAGAAATACTTCCAATGAGACATTTTTTGTTTTCTTCTCCTCTTGCAAGACAGGACAGTTTTGGAAAACTTAATTAGTAAGTAATAAAAACACTGGATCCAATGATTTTTTTATTTTTGAAAATCTGAATATTTCTCAGTTTCTGGGTGTAATTATCGTAACTTGAAGGAAAAACCACTAAACCTTTTTAAAGCATGAAATGCAAACCAGTTCTTGAAAAAAACTTATAGAATGAACACAAGTTTATTCTAAGAACAAAAAGAAAACCAATAAAGAAATTAGAAAATGAAATCCCACCATTCTCAGATCTTTAGACTTCAAAAAAATTAGACACCCTAGAACGTCTGAAGAAACACCTTTTGATTCCTTTTCTGCAGGAGTAATATAGAAGATGTAAATATTGTTATTTTTTTTGGGATTGATTCCTATGAATGTTACCAGAAATATTTTATTTTTTTCCCATCCTGGATACACCTCAAGTCTTCATATCAGTATCCAAGATGGGCTGAAAAATGTTTGCTTTCAAATGGTTGAAAAAAATGACACAAACTGAGAGGAAGTCTGTACAGAGGCAGCTGAAGGATTTTATATTTGCGTCTCCATAAAAACACGAGCACCGGCGAACCACAAAACCCCCCATCAACCCTATCCACGTTCCAGTACCAGGTTGCCATGGAAACAGGCTCAGTATCCACCTCCTCTGCTGCTATTTGCCTCACTTCCTGATTGTCTTCGAATCCAAACATCTGTCAACCACCCCCTCCATCTTCCACCTCCATCCTCCCCCACCCTCGCAACCAAAACAAATCACGTTTATATATTTTTCAACTATCACCTTTTAAATGGACAAAGTGTTGTTTGTGTGGGAATAGATGGTCTTTTCATACATTTCATTTCTTACCAGCCTCCGTCCTCCTGGCGCTGTAGGCTGAAATGTCGATCATAATTTATGATTTACATTATGCTGAGGGAATACAAATGAGCAACGTTGCTGCATCACGCAGCACGTTCAACCTGCAAACAGTCTTTCAGACAGCTTCTCCTTCAATGTTTTGTTTACTCTTTTTTCTTCCTTATTTGCACAAATCATGAATTCTTCTACTGGTGTAAAAAAATATGTCAATTATCTCATTTTCAGCTAAATAGCTTTTGCTAATGTGCTTATGTTAAAACAAATGGGGTCAGCTTTGCAGACATATTGATAAAATTCCAGATAGATGCAAAATTAGGTTAACAGATTTGAAGCTCTCTAGAAATGGCATGTGATGGAAAAGTACATTTTAAATTATTGTTTTAAAATCAATTTTTCTCATAGCATAAATAGAGATAACCCTGGACTGGTTTCCCTACTAGTGCAAGTTCTAGTGCAGAAAACATCCAAATCTGCATTCTTCCCAATCAACATTTGGATCTCAGGTTTGGATCATGTGTCTGAGAATAGAAACAAAACTGCTCTTTCACTACGGCTACAGACTGATCAACTCATCCTGGGGGGTTAAGCTGCAACTAAACCTGCTGCATTAATAAAACAGGCATTTAGTCATCCTGATTCCCCTCAGTTTACCCCTTTAAGTGACGAACCTGGTGACCCTGTACACTGTAGACACCTGACTCCTGTCAGAACAGATTGCTTAATCTGGATCATATCAACCTCAGAAGACAGACACCCACACTGTTAAAACTACTCTGAAATTAGGTCAATTTTATAGAAACCCTTTGATTTACTGCATGATTTGCAGGAGCTGCGAAGCTTACACAGTCACGTTTGAACTACAGCTGCGACTCCTTGCAGGTTTTTCCTCATGGAGAAAATGTCTGCCTCATGTCGAGATTATTGGTTTGGACATGGTTGGGCTGCATGTTGCCAGATGAGAAACATTCACTGAGGAAGCTGTCTGGTACTTGAAGGATAAAAATAAACCCTAATTTGATTCTTTTTCTTCATTTTAGAGGAATTCCTTTAATTTTTCACTGATTTGTTTTCGAATATTTGATTCTCTGATCCACAAAGAACAAAAAATTGGCAAATAAATGAAGGAAAAACTACTTTATTACAAAATTCAAAATTTGGAAAAAGTGTTTGTTTTTCTAACTTTTTAATTCAAAAAGAACATTTAAAACTATTTTTGTCAAAACATTACTTATATTAAACCAGTAGTTTGGTTGGATCTTGAAAAATGTGTTAAATTTAGTTTTTTTTTTTTTTTTTATATTATCTGTACATGATGAATAACTTACCGGTATGTTTTGTGGAAATTAACAATAGAAAAACAGCCATAACATTTTTATCGCAAACAACATAGATCATAGGGATAGAGTGTTTTATGCTCAGAGAATTGGTTTCTAAACATGTGTTAAGTTTTAATCTCCATTAAATATTTAAATCAAATCACAGCCTGATACCTTAAATTAGCTCTTTTCTTGTCAGAAGTAAAACCAGTATAACTGCACTTTAAAAGGACAACTTCATATACAAGGTCAATTAAATTTAAAAAGTAAACACTTAAAATGTTTTAAAACAGATAAGTAAACTTAGAAAAAAGGTACTTGTTACTCTTGACAACTATGCAAAGTGGGGTCTTAGTTTTCTTATTGTAAAAGCCAAATGAAGAAGAGAGTATTTGCAGCTTGAATTTACTTAAATGCCCTAATTGACTTTCTGATGTGGATGAAGTGTAGGACTTAAATTTTGTCTGTGTCCTTGAAATGCCTTTCTGTTATTAACCTGAGACTTGGATCTGCTTCCATTTTCTGCTGGGTTGATTGCAAACCAGTACATGCCCAAGGCAATATGGTGGCATGCTTGTGGTAACAGTAGGAGTAATTAACACTCTTTGTAACACAGAAGTTCAAAACTGGAACACCTGATTTAATTGTTCAAAAATGTAAAATTTGTAGAGTTCAATTTGTTTTACTTCCCACTGTGCAAAGTTACATGTGGTTTTAAATCTTTTGGTAATGTGCCAGTTTGTTAGGTCTCCAAGATACCAATCTCAGACATCAGTGTTGACTTAAATCATGCAAATTAATTTCAGTTGCATAATTGATGGTCTGTTCCCATGGGTTTGGTTTTCTTTCTTTATTACTTTGGTTGTTGCTTGAGTTCATGTGGAATTTGAGTTTTGTAAGTTGAAAAAGAATATAGATGTATTTGTAGGTAAGTAGGGTGTTCTTCCTTCCTTCCTTCCTTCCTTCCTTCCTTCCTTCCTTCCTTCCTTCCTTCCTTCCTTCCTTCCTTCCTTCC